CTAGAAGGGTTTCCCAACACAGTCAAATATTTGTAAGACATAAATAAAATAAAAACAATAAAATAAAAACAATGACCATTGTCTTTTTTTTAACAATATAACCAACAGAAAGCAGCACAGTGCTGCACTTTCACAGCCATTAGCTCTCACAGTTTGCTGGTCCCTAAGCACTTACCTGAACAGCTGGGGGTTAAATACTTTGCTCAAGGGCAAGTTGACAACAGTAACAGGCATTACACAGAGCCAATGTGCTGCGGTGTAGCTTGTTATTATGTGCCATGAATTTTAAGACACAACTGTGAGACTGTCGTCAGTATTTCATTTCTTGAGCATAGAACAGTCTTAAAGAATAACACTTTAACGGAGGGACAGGTCTCCACAGAAACAAAGGGCTTCATCTGACACATATAAATGTATGTTTTCAGGTGACAAGAAGGTGTTTTATACTGAGTTCACTTTTTTGTTCCACAAAGAATTCTGATCCAACTTTACTTGGTCGTATCTTCAGTTCCCCTTCATCAGAAAAAAATAAATAAATAAATATATATATATATATATATATATATATATATATATAGATATATATATATATATATATATATATATATATATATGTGTGTGTTTTTGTTTTTTTTCCTGGTGTGTAGCTTTTCTGGTGTGCTGTCCCAAGTTTTGAATACTGTCGTGCAGGATAGGCAAGAATATCCACATTCCACGCACTCTGGGCCAGTAAATGATACAAAACACATCTTTTATGCAGGTGCTGGTTTCCCTAAAATGACAGGTGCAACACCATGACTTCAAACTAAATTTTTTGTTTACAGCCAAACTGCTCTTCCACACTCTCTTTGGTGCTATCTGGTTGCACACACAAAATCCTCATTTATATAAAGCAGTCTGCACCACTTCTGCACATTATCAAGTGCACACGTAATCATGGTAGATCATCTGCAACCGACCCTGTAATTGCGCATGAAATTTTTTTGTTGGTTTGCTCATCGTTTGGTCTCTTTAGTTATTTTTACTGCATCATGTCTGGGCACTTAGTTCAATGTCAGAAAGTGAAAAACACACTGTGTACGGGCTGATGCTCATGATTTGCGTATGTATGTATGTATTTCCCTAGTTTTTATGATATAAATAATATGTTAAAGTTCATGTTTAGATAGTTTAAAAATGCATGGATGTGAAATGTGAATGAGAGAAACACAATTTGAGACAAGAGATAAATTGTGTAACATGATTTTTTAATACTGTTAAGAAAACACATTATTGATGTCCGAGTCTTTAAAGTCTCAGGATATAATTCATCATTACATTTGTGACCTGTATTGCAAGATACATCTGAGTTACAAAGAAAAAGAGAAGTACGATACTGAACAGTAATTCACGGTTGATAATTAGTTTTAGTTCCTGCTTTGGCAGATGTTTTTTTTTTTTCCATCCATCCATCTTTCACGGCTTATCAAGGTTCAGGTCGCGGGGGCAGAAGCCTGAAAAGAGAAGCCCAGACTTCCCTCTCTCCAGCCACTTCGTCCAGCTCATCCCAATGGCCCCCGGAGGCGTTCCCCGGCCAGCTGAGAGACGTAGTCTCTTCTGTGTGTCCTGGGTCTTCCCTGTGGTCTCCTACCGGCGGGGAAGGTACCTGCTGTCCACATGATGCTGGTCCTGTAGTGAGACACCTGACCCCAACACACCCCTATTTGCTGCTGTGTGTGATTGTGACATGTAAAGTGCTCAAATGGGTATAAAGACCAGACAAAGAGACATGTAAACACAATCAGTACCAGATATCTTGTCTTCGCACTGTTTTCGGAGCAGGGTGTAATTTGCAAACCATGCGATTAAGTCTTTAACATTTCACAAATTATCACAATGTCTTAAGTTGTGGTTATATTTCTAGGTGTCATAGAGCTTTAGTGCGCCCTAATAGAGCTGCTGGAAGGGTTAATGCTTTAAGTATGCCAATAAAATAAAATAAATACTTAAGTTCATTTCTTTTCACATCATCAATGATAATGAAACACACACTGTACATGTGTTTATGTTCAGAGTGGTCTGGCCAAACAGGATTCTTTAAACTTGGACAGATGACTGAGCAGGGACAAGCACTCTGAGCTTTTCCTCTAAGTTTGAGGTGAGGTTTCAAAACACCACGCTATATATATATACACTAACATTTCATGGATTTAACTTGGAGGTTACCAGATGCAGCTCAAATCAAACATAAGGAACACTTCACCCCTACTTAAATCAACACTGCTAAAGACACAATGTAGAGAGAGTAAGCAGCAGCAGCATCAAGCAGAGAAGCCACAGCTGTATGAGTTAGGAGTGTGTTCTCAATCCTGTGGCAGCTGGCATTTTAGAGAAATGAAGTTTTCATCCCACTGCAGAGTCCCAGCTGATAGATGAGGTAGAGCAGGATAAGTGTAAACTCTGCAACACCAGAGTTTTGCAGGGCCAGTCGATGTCTCCCTGTTTGACACTTGATCTTATAATCCCTCTCAGGAGAACTTTGGTCTGCCTGACTGTGTCTTGCAGACATAATAGAAGCTTTTTTGATTTACAGTTGGACCATCTTTGTGCCAAAGGGGATTAATAAAGAGTCTGATGTGTTCTCTAACCCGCCTTATTCCTCTGTTGTTTGTATGGAGCTGTTTTCAGATGACCAGGGTCTAAAACTCAATTACAAACCTGTTTTGGACTGGATACAGACCCCTGAGAATGTTACAGGAGATAGATTGTGTATACCTGTCTACGAATTAATGTAAAGAGGTCCCTTTTTACCCAATTGTTTCATATTTCCATAAATTCTCTGTGCTATACTTCTCTATTACATTTGCATTTCTGTGCACTATCCAAAATGTGAGGTTGGTAATAAATCACGTTAAAGGAGATTTTCCTAGATATGGAAATCTTTTTGCTGTTGTTGCTGTTGTTGTCATCCTGCTTCTATCTATTACTCACACCCAAGCACTCATACACACACACACACACACACGAGAGAGAGTCCGCACACATACACACCTTTGTATTTTCTTTCTCCTGGTACTTCCTTTATCATCTTACTAAATATTATTGGACAATTTACTGGGAAAACCATAAAGCTCTGTGAAACTTTTCTATTTAACCATATGACTGGACAAATAATGGGCCTGGTCTGTGTGTGTGTCCTGGTTGTTCATTTCCCCTCAGGCTGCTCTGTTTATATGCCTGAGTGATATGATGTATCCTCCAACTGCAGCCAGGTCTTAATCTGAGTCAGCCTCCCTCCCTCTTCTTCTTCTTCTGCTCCCACTCTGCAGCCAGCTGCAGTGTTCAAATATCCTTTTTTTAGATTCAGAGTAAGGGTTTCTGTGGTTACCATGGATACCAGGAGAGTCCAGGAGGAAGATACTTGCTGCTCCCATTTGTACAATTTTAGCCTCTTACAATGACAGCATGCTTATCAGAGGTTAACAGTCTGTTCATCACCTGGGCTCACACTGACATGTGAATGGAAAAGAAGTAATGAGAAATGTCTTCAAAGATGGATTTATATCAGCTATTAAAGTTTTTTTCTCAAGTTATACCAACAAAGAAACTTTTTTTGCAGACAGAAACACAGTTTATTTTTGTATTTCAGTCTGGAACACTGTCAAAATTTAGCTTTATTGTGCAAAGTTAAATTTGGCGGCATGATTCTGTTCCGGGTCCCTGCCCTTCCACGCATGGAAGCCAGAGGCAGGAAGAGCCCTTCACGAGCCATCAGGAAAGGCGATAGCAGGGAGCACACGAGGGGTTCTGTTCGGGGCCCCCCGTTCTCCACGCTGGCATGCGTGAAAGGCCAGCGGCAGGAAGGGCACCTTCCCACCCGTCACGAGCCATCATGAAGGCAGAAACGATGGGGGGTAGAGCAGCGATGAACAGAACCCCCTCAAAACATCCATGCCGTGCAGTCTAGGAGCTAACAAGGGGAGGCGAGAAGCTGCCGAAAGAGAGACGGGTTAGAGAGACTCGTTGCCCAAGCATGAATAAGTTATCTGCAGAGTATTTTTTGTATATTAAAAGTAAAAGTAAGTCTAGCTGCGAAGTACAGTTTTTCTCTCCATTTGGAGCCGAAGATATGCCACCGAGAGGGGTGTAGAGGCATAATTTACAAGCCTCAGTGATGTCTGCTTTAGACAGACAGAGGTATGTGTCCAGTTCAGCTCTACGGGATGGATAGACTTCGCAGATGACTTCCCTATAAATGCTAAAGCCACTGTGAATTCCGCTAGAGACAAGGACTTGAAGAGCCTGGGATCACTATCTTTTAGCAGCACAGAAATGTCTCTGCAGTCAACCACACGTTTATCGCTGACATCAGAGAACAGCAGGATCTTAACTAAATTAATGTCATTACCTGCCAGGATCTGGCTCCTGAGATTAGGAGAGATTGCAGCTGCAGCAGGGTAGAAGGGAATGCCTGTGGTGATGGGAACTGCGCTACCCAGGGTTCTTCATGGGACGGTGATGTTGTCGTAGGGGACCGGGATGACGTTATCGAGCTGCGACGATGGGCCGGTGATGGGGGAGGTGGTGCGTGCACAGTCTGGGAAAGTTGGCATTGTGGATTGAAACGGTTTTGACGTTGGAGCATTAGCCTCAAGGGTCTGGATCCTGGCATTCATGGAAGAGAGGGAGGACTGTATGGACCAAAGGGCTGACATGATGTCGGCGTTTGTCGGAGCTGCAAGGTTGTCCATTGGAGCTGCGTGGCTGGCCGCTGGGGCCGGAACTCTCGCCCCCTTGTGCGTCTGGGTGGCAGCGACTGCCAAGGCTGTACAGGAATTGCTGGTGGTATGTTTACATTTTGCTGCAGCCTTTCGAGGAGCAGAAGGTGGAGGAGTGCCTGCAGGTGGACGCTGGGGCTTGGAGCAACTCAGGAAAAGCCCAATTAATTCCTGGTGAGAGGCACCGATCGGGGCGGGATTGTTTTTGATAAACAGGAACTGTAGCAACTTGGGGAGTCTTGAGGTGACTCCAAGATGCAATTGAACTGCGGCTTGTCCTCGTCGTAGGCTGAGGACATCGTCACAAGGAGCAACAAGGTAAGAAATAACACAAACGTTTTGGCAGGCATATGGAAATTGCTGGTTAGCTGTCGAAGCAGAAGAGGGAGCTGCTGGGTTAGTGCTTTTTAAATAAGGGGCTCTATAGGCATAGGACCAATAGGAGCTAGGAGTGAATCAGCTGGCTATTGTCTGGTTGAGGTGGCTACAAGCCATTGGCTGCGGATCAGCGCTTGACGTCGTGTCCTGACAGAACTAACGCTATGCTTCATTTTAATCTGAAAATACCGCTAACGTTTTTGCTAACGTTAATTCAGGGCAAAAAAAATATGTGTAGTTTATCAAGCTTTTTGTTGGTTTAGTAGTAAGCTAGTCTTGTTTGTTTCTTAGTCAGAGGACTCAATGACTGATGTGCCAAAGATGGATACTGTTTTTTAAGAGAAAAGTATTGAAGAGCATGCAGAGAACATTGTAACTACTTGAAAAGTTTTGCATCATAACCATATTTAACAGGGCCACCATTTAAGGGAGAAAAGTGTGGATGACCCTATAGGCCCACTACTGATGATAGTCCTTAAAGGGGTAGTTTTGTATAATCAAAGTGGGGTTGTTTAAGTTACCTGTATGATGACCGTTCTAGCCCTGATGGAGGGCAGTCAGTTCCTTTCATGAAAAACAGCCGGAATAACTAGTACACAAGCTAAGCTACAGTTTTCTGTGTACATGGTCCAGTCTATCATGTGATTTAGCTAAGTTTGAGAGACTCTGACCCAACCACTCAACTCAGTACAAGTGTAATCTCTGCTGACAATTTTCAGTCTTTTGCTATCAGAAAGACTATTCATTTTAGCTCTTTTTGTAGATGCAACATGTATTCATGCACTATCGCCTGCAGAGCTCTGATCTGCTAATCAGGTCTAGGTTATTAAAAAAAACATAAAAACAATCACAGATGGTAATACTTGTTTTTGCTCCTAAGTGTAACTGTTTATTATTTCATCAGTGCCAAAAACTCTTTAAAAGGTATTTAATTTTTTTTCAGAATTCCACAATTATTACAAAACTCAGCAGCACCTGTCCTGACTAAGACCGGGAGGCGGGCTCACATTACAACGGTTTCAGAATCATTGCATTGGCTCCCTGTGGGTTTTGTGATCAATTTTTAAGGTTCTTTTACTTGCTTTGAAATGTCTTGATGGTCTTGGGCCTTCTTAAATCTCAGAACTGCTTTAACCTTATGAACCTTTTAGGACCCTGCGCTCTTCTGGCAGCGGTCTCCTAGTCATTCCTAAAGCCAGGACACACACTCATGGTGAGGCGTCCTTTCAGTATTACGGCCCTCATCTATGGAGCAGCTTGCCTCAGCCAGCCTCAGGGCCACAGAGAATGTTCATGTTTTTAAGAGCAGAATCAAAACCCGTGGCACAGTATTGTGGCAGACTTGTGTATATCCTCCATATCAAACCATTCTCTCACAATTTTTCCGATATTTTTTTCCTATTCCTTTTTCAGTTGAAAACAAACAAAAAAAACAACAAAAATAAATTTCATAGTTTGAAATAGACAATTACAGGATTCCATCTTCTCAAAAATCTGTCAAATTTTAGCTTATTTTAGCTGTTATCTTTTCCATTGAGTAGGTAGAGATGATCTTTTTATGCCATATCGTTTTTGTTTTTAAATTGACTATAAAACACTTTGCGTTACATTCTTTTGTAGGAAAAGCCCTTTATGAATAAAGTTTTGATTGGGTTTGATTTAAATATTGAAATTTGGCAACCATTCATGATAAAACAATTTCTAAATATAATGTCCTTGTTTAAAGAATAACAAAATAAATTACTAAAAACTTATCTAATTCTCTTAAGTAATTAAAGTCCTGTAGATGCAGCATTGTTAATTATCAGTCTGTTTTATATCCACTTAGAAAACTTTGAAAGGTACTCTTTTTACTTCTTTAAAGGCTGTCACTATGATGAAGTGTTTTCATACAGTGTAGGTGAGAAAAGCAAAAAGTCATTTGAAAGGCTGATAGAGCCAACGCTGCATCAGTGTTTCACATAATTTTAGTTTCCACAATGAAAGCACCACTTTTCGTTTGCTCTGCAACATAAACATCATTCTTGCACTGGCCCTGAATGTTGGTATTAGATACTGGTAAGTTTTGTTATCAACTTAAATAAATGATAGCTTCAAATCTTAAATTTTTCATTCCCTACAAAGTCATTAAACAAGTGGAGCATGGCTGAAAACAAATCTATCAACTCACTTCACTGGGGTGAAATCTTTTCTACCAGGAGATGAAAATTCAGGTAATTCTAACAGGAGGAGCCCTTTAGAGAAATCCTATTTCTGCAGCCTGCTTCAGCAATCTTATTCTTTGGGTAGGCAGCCAGATCTCCAGACTGCAGGTGAGGATTGGAATGAAGATGGATGATTGAATTGAGAGTTTAGCTTCGTGAATCAGCTCTCTCTTTACTATCATGCCCACTTCAGACCTGCTTTACCACGGCCTGGTCTCACTTCTACTGAGTGGGTGGTCAATCACCATCTTCACCTTCAATGTACTACAATTTAATCCTGACAGAGACAAAAAGCCGGCAAGGAGGGACTTCATACTGGTGCACTGTCAGGCATACAACTAAGAGCACCAGTGACAAACATGATGTTTTATGTTACTTTATTGCACCATACTGTGGTAAGTCTTATCATGATAAATATACAGATTTACAGACAAAGGCAGACAAAAGGAGGAATAATTCATCATCCATCACTAGCAATTGTGTCTACCCAAAGGGGTCTGTAACAGGGTCTGTATTATTTGTTGTTTACCTTTAATAAAGTCACTTCTGTTCCAAAAACAAATAAAAACAAGATTAAACACCGATATGTAAACACTTCTTTACAAATAACTGAATATGTAATGAGGTGTCCTTATTTCATCACATCACTGTAAAACAGGGTCCTTAATATTGTTTAAAACAGGGTCTGTAATATGCCTTATAACAGGCTCTGTAAAAGTGTCTATATCAGGGTCTGTAATTTGGTCTATAACAGAATATATAGAATATATATTCTATATATATATATATAGAATATATATATGTAGAATATTACAGAATTTTATAGACCATATAACAGACCCTGTTATAAACCCTGTTAGACACCCTCTAATAGGGTCTGCGATAGTGTCTATAACAGGGTCTGTAATATGGTCTATAACTGAGTCTGTAATAATGTTTAAAACAGGGTCTGTAATATGGTCTATAACTGAGTCTGTAATAATGTTTATAACAGGGTCTGTAATATGGTCTATAGCATGGTCAGTGATATAACATGGTCTGTAATAGGGTTTATAACAGGGTCTTTAGTATGGTCTATTACAAGATCTGTAATATGGAATATAGCAGGGTCTGTTATATGGTCTATAGCATGGTCAGTAATATGGTTTATAACAGGTTCTGTAATAGGGTGTCTCACAGGGTCTGTAATATGGTCTATAACAGTGTCTGTAATATGGAATATAACAGGGTCTGTTATAGGGTTTATAACAGGGTCTCTTATATGGTCTATAACAGAGTCTGTATTATAGAATATTACAGGGTCTGTAATAGGGTCAGTAATATGGTCAATAACAGGGTCTGTAATATGGAATATAACAGGGTTTGTAATATGGTCTACAACAGGGTCTGTAAAAGGGTTCTTAAGGAAGCAGTCAAAACAAGTCAACTTTCTCAGATTCCTGGCCAGTTGGACTATAAATTCCCTCCAACCATTTCCCCCTGTTTCCTCCCAGTTTGTCATGCCCTGAACACCCTAAAAAAGAAGCATCCATATCAGAAGCCCAAAGCGCCTCAACAGACACCTCTCGAAGCCAAGGAGCTACAACTCTACTCTGAGCTCCCTGAGGATGTCTGAGTTTTCTAACCACATTTCTGAGGCTGGGCCCAGCCATCCTCCGCAGGAAATTCATTTTGGTCATTTCTTATCCACAAAGTCATTCTTTCTTTCACAACCACATGGCTCACTACCATAGATGGATAGAGAGGATAGATGGATCTTGTGCCTGGACTGTCTTTCATACGGCCCAGTCAGGCTCAGCCCAAAAGATACATGAAGCCACCATCTTGTGAGCCCACCAAGGGTACATGGGTACTGGGTGCATTTGAAGCTAGGTGGCAATCAAGTTAATGCACTTGGACATGATGATCCCTTTCAGCATGATGGCCATGTGCTTGACACAAACAAATGCAGATTTGTTAAAAAATAAATTAATAAAAGTGATGTTGGCGATCTGTCAGAAAATCATCAGGATGTGATGTCAGGGGAACTGTCATGGAAATCATCAAAAAAGTTATGATTGTGGACTTGTTGCAAAAGTTGTCACAAAATCTCTTAAGGTGCTTTTTCAAACATTTTACCTGAGCAACCTCCTGATTTCAGCACACTAAAAATGGTGATGCAATTATCAACCAAAGGTGGTGTCACAGCTCCATCCATTATTCACACAGTTATTACTGAAAATTTAACTTTCTGTATCATTGGTTCTCCTCTTCTGCCATCATCACAATATGCTGACACTGTGATGCATACTGGTGTTGTATCTACAAGCTCAAAGCTCTGACGTTAAAAGAAATTCAGAAATTCCATAATATTGTAAAAAATTCTGAAACCTGCCCACTGATTTCTTATTCAGTACTTGGTGGCAGATCGATATGAGACACAAAATCAGCTTGATATGTTACCATTGAGCAGAGTGTCACACCTACACATAAACAAAAGACCCAGAGTGAAGGCAGTCTGCTTAGGCAGCAAACGTGTGCCTATCAGAGCTGTCAGTTCACATTATATCAGCACTTTCTGATGTCAAACCATTCATTATTTGTTGCTTGAGGGTCACTGCGTTCTGATGACAAGGTCGATATCCTGAACCTGTGCAGAGGACTCAGCAGGGAGCTTACATGTCTCAGTGAGTGTGACGCCATATACGTGTGTGTGTGTGTGTGTGTGTGTGTGTGTGTGTTGGGGGTTGTGTCACTTATCACCAGTTCTTGCCTTCCAAGAAATGAGCAGTGCGAGTTGATCTGACATATAGTCAAATTTCCAAAAAATGTTGGAGAGATAGGGAAAACAACAGGATCTGACTGCAAGAGCTGTATGAAGTGTTTTTTTTTTGATAACAGGCTTGTATGAAAAACTTTAAAACATACTTCTATACAAAACTGTCACAACTCTGTTACAAAGCATATCCTTCATGTTTTTTCAACATCATCATTGTTTAATCTGTCATCAGTGTTCTTGAGCAGAGCTGCATCAAAGGACCAAAAGAGATTTACACCACTGTTATGAATATGTGTGTGAGTGTCCAAGTGTGAGTGTGAGTATCTGTGTGGATGTGTCTGCATGTGAAAGTGAGCATGTACCTGTGTGGTTGTACCTGTGTGGGAGTGTCTCTGTGAGAGTGTCTGTGGGTGTGCTTCACTCTCTGATTGCAGGATGCCCAGCACCTGCAGCTGCAACAAAGTGAGCAGAGGACATGCGGCTCACTCTCTCATTCTCAGCCCAGAGTGACATTCTGCAGTGGGGCAGCAGCAGCCTTAGTGTGATTTTCTCAAAAGTGATTTATCTTTGTTTAGAAAGAGTGGTGTCTCTTTTATTTCCCTTTGGTGAGTTTTTGTAGCTGTCACCTGTTATTGGTAGTCATCCTGTTCTTAAAAGGATCGCTTTGTGTGATAATTACTATTGTCCTTAGTTTTGTGAGGATTGTTTTATGTTTGTGGTCGTGCTGACCTACGTTTGGTTATTAAAATACTTGAGTTATTGCATATTCTTGCCATTCTCTCTTTATTTCCATCCTTACCTGGTTTTTCTATTTCTATTTTCGTTAGTCCTGAGTACCCCTAGCTTATCAGGACGTAACACCACAAAGACTGCATTATCCACAATAGATGCAAATAACTCATCTGTTTTAAGAGATGAGCCAGTGATGTTTTTATCTTTTATTATCTGTAACCAGACGTGGAGCGTCTGTCAAGTTTACTATACACAGGAACTGTTATGGCTGTTTTCAGCCACTAACTTTTTTAACTGCTCTAAAAACATATCAGATCAAATTTTTTTTCACATAAATCTCTTAATCCACTTCTGCCCTGCTCAAAACTACCAAGCATTGAAAATTTGCTGGTGGATGCCTCTGGCTCCGACTCTGGCTCCGACTGTGGCTCTGGAGCAAGAGCGGAAGCTGCTGCAGCCTTCATCCTCCTCACTAGTGCAGCAGCAAGTGATCCGCGAGGCAGGTGCTTCCTCCTTACCACTGCTGGAGAAACCAGAGACATGCCCAGCTCTTCGAGGAAGAGTCTCCTTTTAAAGAGCTTTCCCTGTTTCCAAGAGGGATCCACATCTTGGAAGATGACAACGGCATTGAAGGCTGAGATGTCCAACATGTTGAAAAACAGGGCCATCAGCTACCGCTGCATTCTCCTTTTACAGCTGTAGGTGCCAACAACCTAAAAAGAAAGAAGAAAAAAGGAGAAGAAATCGATATAGAAATCAGATCTCAAAATGGAAGTGTTTTTTTTCTAAACCAGCACATAACAATGACAAAAGTCATGCAAACATTATCAAAACATCAAATAAATCTCATAAATTTATCTCATTCAAGACCTCATGGCACATACCTTATCTAGGTTGTCGACACCTCCTTTGATGCAGTTGTAGAAGGCGATGATTTCAGGCTTTTGCTTTGGGCCCTCTGTAATCTGTGGGTCATGGTGTTGTGTGCTGATCAGGCAGACATTCTTGCCCTGTTTTGGAATGTAACTGATAGCAGTCGTGTTTTTCGTAAAGGCAAAAAACGATGGAGTTGACAGGCCGGCCTTTAGCCATCGTGATATTTGGTGGCAACTCCGGCTATTTGAAAAAAACTGATGCTACAAAAAAATGAAAAATGATTGAAAATCAATGATGCTACATATCTTTGACATATCTAAGACTATGATGCCATGTAAAAAATCTTGTCTCTGATCATGTTTCATTTTGAAAAATAGGTCATTTGATGCTTTACCCTTCCCATAATATGTCCCATATTTCTTTAAATGGCCATTAAGAGCTTAAATGTTTTATTTATTTTTCAGTGCTTGGTAATTTTGAGCAGGGCAGAGGTGAATTAAGATATCTAAGCGAAAAAAAAATAGAAAAAAAAAAGATCTGATATGTTTTTAGAGCAGTTAAAAGTATAATGGCTGAAAACAGCCACTGTTGTCTCTTTTGTCCCCTCAGCTCCACGTCTCCATAAAGATCAGGACTTTGAAAAGACTGAGATGTGTGGTTTCCACTTCAAAACAGCATTATGAGGCTAGTTAGTTACAGGACAATGAAAACTGGCCACTTAAGTGTTGGTCCACCATCTGTATTACTTACTGTGTTACAGCCCAACTGAGACCTACCACAAACAGATGAAGTAGCACGTCATGAATATGCAGAATGTACGCAGATTATCAGAACGTGCCAAATACTGGGAGGAGGAGATGTAAATGAAATCATTTGACACCCACCATGTGATTTATCAAACCCCAAAACTGAGTGTGTTCCCTGTTTTCGCATCTATATATAGCACATTTGAAAGGCAAGTGCAAACTGTGCACAGTGTTAAGCACAAACAACTGCGGCCATTGTAAGGAAAAGGAGGCAAAGGTGCAATGACAGAGGACAGAAAAAGAGAATCTTCTGTGCACATGTGTCAACATATTTGGATTTCGGAAATAAAAGTAGAGACATATCGTCTGTCTAGCAATAGCATTTTTGAGCTATCGGATGACCTAAGGGCTGATTTCTGCCGGTCCCCCACTGGTTTTATTCGCTCACAGATGGCCTCCCAAATCATGTTTCATCTGGCAATGCTGAGAGGTCTCTGCTGGAGTTTACCAGTGTGTTTACTTGCCTCCTCCACCAAGACCTCCAACTCCATGGCTTGAAACGTCATTTTTGTTGTTTATGGCCACTCTGCTCTCACAAACTCTCCATAGTGACCAGTGGTGGACTGGACCATCGGGATTCCCGGTGGCCTGGCGTGTGCCCATGTGTGTGTGTGTGCGTGTGCCCACAGGCAGGCCACTGAACTTGGAAAGCAGGCCAGGCTAGCAGTAAAAGGGTTTAATTAATTTATGTCCGTTGCCGTGGTAGCTGTTGCGACCGGAAGTAGAGCTGAGAGGTCATCGTCCACAGATGCATGCACTCATCGAGCATTGTTGTCCGCTCCGCTCCCGAGCTGATCGTGTTTCTTTCTCCTCCTCCCCCTGAGGCAACGTCTGTAAGTGTTTTTCATGCTGTCGCTCTGAGATGTGATTGTTTTGAGTTTAATGAGGTCGCTGACCGACACCGAGACAGCCACGATGCTAGTGGTGCATGCTAATCCAAGTTTTATGCCTCTTGAGAACTTTGACTTTTTCTGACAGGCTCTCAACATTGTATATAATACAACAGCAATGTTGTAGGCTACATTCTTAGTTTAAATGAGTAAACAAATATTTAAAGATGACATCATTGACAGGATGGCAGTGAGCTACTGCGACACCTTCTGGTTTTCTAGTAGTTTTATTACTTACTAGTTAATCTGAAGCAATAATTACACCTCAAGTTTGAAGGGGGTGGGTGCATCTCAGAAATTGTTTACATTTTAGTTAACATTTTTGTTGAAGCAAAGTTGTGTCACATTGTGATTGTAATTTTGTTTTTTAATTAAATAAAGTTTTCCATGAAGGTGTCTCACAGAGGCATATTTTTGTTTTTACTTCATATTAAATTTGCAGTTATGTAGCCAATGTCGAATTCTTCACATTTGCATTATATTCATTAAATCTGGCTTCATATGTCCAAAACTTTTTGCCAGTGCCGGCATTCCTGTGTCAATATATATTGGCCTGGCCTGAATGGGATCAAACTCCTGGCCTGAATTATGGTCCCACCCCTGATGGTGACATCCGGTAGCACACACAAAATCTGTGCTGAGGACTGTGGCTGCCACCCCAGTTGCTGTTCAGAGTAACATTCAAACATACCCAGACTGGTCTGTGCATCCTATATTTCAAGATCATTCTTTGTTGGCAGCCGTCATTTCTCTCGCTCTGTCTGAATCAGTAACACACAACGCCAAATACATAATGACGTTGATCACATGAATGCACCCTCCACTCTCTAAAAAGGTAACCGCGAATCATTTTTCATTGCAGCCAATCATTACACATTTGTATTGATTTTTAACTGTCTCGCGATGCATCGTTACATCCCTACTATTAACATATTCTTATTCTACTCTCTCTCTCGTGAGCTTTAATCTGACTTTGTCAGTCTTAAACACACAGTAGAAGCCGATGATTACAAGTAATATTTGAGTTCATGTGTTTTTGTTGTGTCTAATCTGTGATGGATGTTGTCGAGCTGTGCAAAGTTTAGAGAAGAAAACTTACTGTGTCGATGTTTTGGCTCTCCTAACATTCAAACATTTCCCCTCAGCTCCCATAGAATGTATAGTTCACTGCATATGAACCATCATCGTTTTCTATTACAGTCAAGCAAACATCCCCATGGATGCCTGGCATGTGCAGATGATCCACCGCAGCAGAACAGTTGACCGCTCAGCTTTGTACTTCTGTGGTTTCCCAACTCTCCAACACATCAGACACAAGGTGTGAATGTGTGTGTGTTTGTGGTCTTTACATTATCAGTAAACAACAGCCCCACAGCTTAACCAGTTTGATACTGAAACTATGTAACCCTGTGTAATTGTTAAATCACTTTTTTATTCAAATTTGAATCAAAGTTTCAGCTTTTTAAATTTCTCTCCATGTTCAGAGGTAGATTTTCTCACCCTCTCGCTCACTCTCACACAGTTTTACAAGAAGAAGAGTGGAGTGGTTGTGTTCCAGCAGAGCAGCAGAGGAGAAAACATGATGCTTGATATCCTTATGGACAAGGAAGAAGCAGATCCGGTGAGCTCTCTCTTGTTATTACTCATCTCATTTTATAAAAGCACTGCAGATGGAGGTCTTGTCCACTGACATATTTCCGAATAAAACATTATTTATTACAAAATCAGTGGCTTTGAACTATCTTAAGTCAGGTTAATAGAAAATTAGTTTTTGTAACTATTTAATGACAAGTTTGCAATATTACAGGAATGGGGAAAATAACCTCTTAGTTCTAAAAGTCTTTTTAACTTCTAACCTGATTTTGTACATGATGGTCCCATTTACAGTGAAAAACAGAAAAAAAATTGTTAGAGTCACTTTTTACTTTAAACCTTCTTGTTCGGTAGCACACACAAAATCCTCTTTTAATTAGGGCGGTCTGCACCACTTTTGCACCTGTTATCAATTATCTGCAACATGCCCACTAATAGCACAAGCAATTTTTAAGTTTGCACACGCAATTTAGTGCTCAATATTTGGGATCTTAGTGGAATAGGTCCTAAGTGTATGAATGATGACCATGACAGGTGATATAAGAGTGGTGAGTGGTCAGAAAGTGCCATACAAATACAGTCCATGTACTGTCTTGATAGACTTACTGAAATCTGCTGAGATTACTACTACTGTAAGTCTGCTTGGAGGAAACAGCAGGTTCATAGGCCAGTTGTGGCTTGTTTGATGAGTTTTCTCCTTTCTTTTTTATATGTCAAGAACAAAAGACATAGTTGCTGATTTCAGAAAGTCTCCAGCATGCCCTCTGCCAACAGTTTTAAAAGCTGCTGACACTGACATTTGTTGAAAGCTACAAATATCTGAGTGTTGTTCTTGGCAGCAAACTCTGTTTTGAACCTGATATTGTTTTGTCTTCTGAAAAGGCACGGCAAAAACTGTTGTTTTTAAGGAAGAAGGACACTTTCATTGTTGTTTATGTTTTGTTTTTGTATGAATGTACAGTTTGGGAATTTAAACTTGGATGATGAAGACTTGAGTGTCAGCCTGTAATATCTCAGAGCAGTGTAAGGAAAGGCTTCACTCCTTTTATAACAGACAGGTCTTTTGCTGAGTTAATGCAGTACTTAACTGCTGAAAGCATCTTCTTTTGTCCACAGGGTGTCGTTGAAGGGAACAAGTGACAAATGAATTTATGCCACATCTATCATAAGCATAATTTGTAATGATTTGCATTTCTGATTTTTTGCATTGGGTTTATCTGAGCACCCCTGCACATAAGAAAGAACCCCCCAGACACACACACACACACACACACAAATATATATATATATACACTACAGGCCAAAAGTTTGGAAGCAAGGCCATTACAGGCCGAACAGTTGGGAGTAACTTTAAGTTTTTGTTCACAATGCTTTTTTTAAATCCAGCATGAGTTTTATGTATTTTGGGATGTATTTACTTCATGATCAGATGTTGCTTTCATGGAAATGCACCATTTTACTCCATTTACTTTTAGATAAACATTGATGTTAACAGACTATTGCTAAATATATGTCAGCAAAAGATAATAAGGGCTTAGTTTTAGGGTTGAAAACATGTGCAAGAGTCACAACTTCAGTGCAAAAGCAAAAAAACAAATCACAGTTGGATTATTCACTTCAACTTTTTGGCTTTTGAGAGCCTGCATACAAAAAACCTATTAAATCTCAACTGCGTTCAAACTACCGCAAAAATGGCTAGAAAGAAGCAACTGAGTAAAGAAACAAAAGTACAGATTTGTACATTGAGGAAAGAAGGATACACAGAAAGAGAAATTGCAAAACATCTAAAGGTGTTTAACAAAGGAGTCCACTACACTCTGAAGAGACTTGAGGAACCTGGAAGTTATGATGATGAGAGTTACTTCAAAAGCAGAGGATAAACATATTATTGTCACCTGTAAGAGAGATCGGCGAAAGACAGCAACAAAAATAAGGGAGGAAATCAACATGACAAGGTCGAAACCCATATCTCTGACAACCGTGAAATGACATTTGAGAAAGGCTGGTCTGAAGAGTTGTGTATCTGCAAAAAAACACTACTTCGTCCACAGAACAAGAAAAAGAGATGCGAGTTGGCAAAAGCTCACAAAAATTGGACTTATGATGACCAGAAACATGTTTGAACTGTTTGGTTCAAAACGCAGCGTCTATGTCCGCAGACAAACTGGTGAACGTCTGAAAGCACCATGTGTTACACCCACAATTCAGCATGGAGGTGATAGTTCCATGGTATGGGGATGTTTTGCAGGGGATGGAGTAGGAGATTTGTTTGAAGTAAAGGGTATCATGAAGAAGGGACAGTACCACTCCATCCTCCAGCACCATGCTGTTCCATCTGGACTCAGACTTGTGAGTCACAAGTTTGTTTTGCAGCAAGACAATGATCCTAAGCACTCTGCCAAGCTCTGTCAGGGTTACCTAGACAAAAAAGAAGAGGAAGGTGTTCTTCAAAAGATGGTTTGGCCCCCTCAGTCTCCAGACCTTTCTCCAATTGAGCTTGTGTGGGATAAATTGGATCGATCAACCAGAAAAACTCATCCCACAAATCAGCAGTCCTTTTTTAATAAACTTAAGAAAGTTTGGAATGCAATCCCTGGAACATACCTTAGAAAACTTGTGGAACGAATGCCTGGTATATGCCAAGCTGTTGTTAAAGCCAGAGGAGGTTACTTTGAGGAAAATAAAGTCTAAGCAACAATAACTCAAATACCTAATAATTATAGTCAGAATGTCTTCTGTTAAGTTACTCTTTACACAATAGTCATGTTTATTGTGTTGCAATTTATATATATGAAACTATGATCTTTTTTGTACAAAGCTGATCTTGGATCTTTGTTCCAAACTTTTGGCCTGTAGTGTGTATATATATATATATATATATATATATATATATATATATATATATATATATATATATATATATATATATATATATATATACACACTACAGGCCAAAAGTTTGGAACAAAGATCCAAGATCAGCTTTGTACAAAAAAGATCAAAAATATTTTACATTTTTGTTTTATTAAAATGACCAGAAATAGGGGAAATAGGGGTCCAATCTTGGTCAGTCTGGGCTGATAGTCCACTGTTGGTCAGGTAAGCGTGTGTGTGTGTGTGTGTGTGTGTGTGTGTGTGTGTGTGTGTGTGTGTGTGTGTGTGTGTGTGTGTTGGGGGGGGGGGGGGGGGGGGCACTTGTGACACTTGTGTGTCAAGAAAAGTGCACCTCCAACTTCAACACCTCCAACATTTTTTACCTCAGTGAAACTCAAGCTAGCAAGAAAATGATGTATGGTCATGATTAAAAACCTAGACACATAGGCCTTGAATACCTGTGAATTTATTTAGCTAGGAAGAGTTTTCTAAGAGGACTAACATGAGCCATTGTACATCATTCTACAATTTTCAATAAGTAAATTTGGAGCTATCCTGCAGACAGTGTTTTCCTTTAGTTAGCGACACCTTATGTGCCCACAGGCAACTTTTGTTGCCACTCACAGAAATAAGCCCATGAACAAAAAAAAAATATTTATCCCAGGTACAATTTTTTGGAGCAGTGTTACTCTAGAGACTTGAATGACTAAATAACCATCATTTGTTTGGGGGGGAAATCAAGAAATTTATGAAAATTACCACTTTCCAGGAAGATTTGCATTGGCCATGTTTTCAGCCAGAAGGAGCAGGAAGCCGATGATGTCGTGTGATAGCACTTGGAAATTATTTTTAAAAAATCAAAACGTTTGTCTAGGTTGTCGACTTTCGTGTAAGTGGAAAAATTCCATTAGTACCTTTGAGGTTTTTTATTGTGAGTCAACAATGACAGTGATACACTTTGGCAACAATTGTTGCCAGTGGGGCAAAACAGGTTAAGTGGTCATGTTAAAGATAGGTCAAGACCCTGACGTGAAGTGGGTCTTAACTCACTGTTCACATATCTGTCAGCTTACTATACTTTATCCCTCACTTATATACTGTGACTCAGAACTGCGTCATGCTCTCATCTTAAAGTAAGATCAGTGTTTGACTGCCTTGTTTTACAAAATGATTTTCAGCAAACACATTATGGAAAGTATTATGAGCAGAGCACAGCCCCAAAAATATGAAGGTTTTTCGGAAATAATGAATGTAACACCATGAAGTTTCAGGCCATTTCACTTCATACTTGCATGTTCACTCTTTTGTCATATTTGTGTGACTTTTGGTGTGTGTGTGTGTGAGTGTGTGTGTGTGCGTGCCGGGTGTCCTGGTTCTGCAGCGTCATCACTGCAGCCCTCCCTGTACAGCAGAGCTCATTTATAAAAGAAGCAAGCAGCCCAGATTTGCGTGTGTGTGTGTGTGTGTGTGTGTGTGTGTGTGTGATGTGTGTGTGTGTGTGTGTGTGTGTGTGTGTGTGTGTGTGTGTGTGTGTGTGTGTTTGTGAAAGAGTGACTGTGTGTTTGTTCATGCATGCATTTGTGTGTGTGTGTCCTACCAGCCCAGATTTACAACAGATCCTCTCATTCATCATGAGAGTTGGTGGGAAATCAGGAAAGGCAGAGAGTCAGAAGGAGTGCTGCATACCTGGTCTCTGGTCTTCACAAAACGAAGCATTGGGATTAACTGGACTACTGATTCAGGTGTTTCTTGGAGATTAATGCAAAAATCTAATATTTACTCTCAACATACTCTGCCACAGCAGCTGACAGGCCTGTTGGTGCAAAATACCTATCATCAAGGAAGAAGACATACAAACTTAGCTTTTTTTGGAAGCGTTAATGGGATCATTACTGATAGTAAATACTTCAAGACTTGACATCAATAAACAGCGTTGAGTTTGAGTGGTACGGCTTTATTCTTCCATTAAGTACTATGAAAATAAAAACACAGAGCAAATTATAGCAAATTATCTCTTGACATATCCCAACAGATTCATACTTTATATAACACAATCGAAATATAGATATCTTTTACAGCAACTACAATTTACTTTAAACCACAC